GGGGAGGGTAAATATGTAACCCGAAATTTTAGTGTAAAGCTGCTAGTTTTGTAACTATGAAGTAGTGATTTCAATTTTTAGCTACACAACGACACGTTTACAAGTATTTACGCAATTACGACTAACAATGATTCGGTGTTTGAGGATTAAGTCTCAAAACTAACGATTTTCTTGCTCGTTATTTTCTAAATTTACGTCGTAATTTTCTGTCAGAAATTACACAAGTTAAATCGTAAATGAAATAGAACATTATTTCGTTTTTATTCTATTTAAGGTGGGGGGTTACACCTGAAGGTTATCTCGTTTTTGCTGGACCGAATTTTACCACATTTCACACATATAACAAGCATAGTAAGGAGTCTTAAAATCCGCAATCAAATTTGAGAAAAAAGTTTCGTTTCCATGGATACGGCGGCGATATAGGATGTTGTTGACATGTCTTACGTAATGAATACCGCACTTATCGCTCTTGGAAATTGATAGTTTTTTTTTGTTGTTGTTTTTTTTTTGTGTGTTTTTTTTGGGGGGGGTTGCATGTGTCTTAACAAACATTAAATCTAAAAATCTGTCTGTTTTTGTTGTTTTTTCTAAATAATTAGAAAATAATTTTTAATGAATTTTGTTCCTGAGGTAGATCTAGCATTCAAGTTTGCAAAAAAATCCATGAAAATCCACACTCCAGACATCACCAACAAAAATCTATTCCATATATCAAAAATTCAACTGAGGTGTTTTTGGTATTACATCTTCTCTTCATTCTGGGAAAATTTCAAGACGATTGGATAACAAATGGTGGAGTTATTCAAAAAAGTATAGAGAAAAGTCGCGTTTTGAGAAAACGGCCGTTAAAGAAAAATAAAATATTGACTTTATGAAGAAATGGAGGAGACAAACAAGCACGGTAAGGAAAAAAATACGGTTTTGGGGAGTTTTTACGCGATGAAATAGTTGTAGGAGGGGCTGAGGAAGCTAAAAATGCCTACATCTCAAATAGGCTGGCGTCTAATCAAGTTCTATGGTTTGTTTACTTCGAACAGAGGAAGACACAGTGTTGTAAGGAGGGTCATCGAAAGGTCATCGGGCCAAGAGTACGCGGCAAAGTTCACACAAGTCAGAGAAGAAGGAGACAAAGACTTTTTCAAGCTTGAGCTGGATGCTCTGTTGAGGCAGACGGCTGGCGGTGTGGAGAGACTCCATGACGCTTTCGAGACATCCAGACATGTGATTCTCGTCTCAGAGAAGCATCCTTTTTAAGGACAATTTTATTACGACTGAAGTGAAAAGCTCGTAAATACTTATACTCGGAAATTTGAATATACTGGTTAATACATACTACAGTCTGACTAAAATAATAGCACTTTGTTATTGACCCATCCTTAATTCATGGTAACGTCTGTCTGTCACATTATATTTATTACAATTTATATTCAACCATCTAAATCCTTCCGTCCATAAATCCAGAAAGTCCTTCTTTTTTTCACCCCTCCCTGCTCCCCCCAATCCTTTCCTCCCTGTATTCCTAGGCACATGCATAAATGGTCGCTTTTAAGGACAAGCGGGCTAACCCAGATTTCGGGGGTTTCCAGAAATCTTGACCTACACCAAAGGTGGGCATTGCTCTATCTATAGCAGAAGTTTGGTTTAATTGGTGTGTATATATGTTTGGTTATAGAGAAAACTGTCCTTGTCTTTTAAAGAAACTGAACAAGGGGCAAAAGTTTTACCTTCGATTTTCTTAAAATAGCATTTTTCGGGATAGCCCCCTTGTGCTTAAAAGCGACCAAATATCTATCAGTCCAAACAATTTGCCATTATATTGTTTCCTTTTTGATATACATGACTGCCCACATAATGAATCATGTATTTGAACTTTTAAAGACTGTGGTTGTGATCCTTAACCTAGTCCAGTGTTAAGGACGGTGATCTCCTGGAACGTGTGACGTCAGATGGCCAGTGGTCCGAGGCGAAGGCTGCCCAGATGATCAGGCAGCTGGTCAAGACCTTGCAAGATGTTCATAAAACAAACTTTGTACATCTGGATGTCAAGGTATTGTGGGTTGGGGTTGTTTTTTTCAGAATACAAAAATATGGAAGATTTTGAGACATCATATCACTTAAAATACAGTTTACCATCAATAGAACTAATGGCAATAGTTTGATGTTCTCCCTTTTTAGTCACGTCCAAATGCGCACTGGATTTGTCACCTTCTCAAAAGTTATTTTATTAAAGTATATTTTATAATCAGTTCCATTACCGTTTTTTTTCTATCCAAGCTAATGATATATTCAATGATTTCAGATTCGTCTTTATGATAACTAAACAAGCCATCTACAAACGAAACAATACGAGATTAACATTGAAGTGATTGCAGACTGAATAAGTCCAGGAAAGGCCAGTCTTGTGTATCTCAATTTTCTCTGAGAGTTTGTTGCTATAGTGTTACAGATTAATTTATTTTTGTCTGGGTTTTTTTTTCTTTTTTGCAAAGGTAATTAAAGCAACCATATCGCTCTCCACCCCCACCCCCATTCTCTCTCTCTCTCTC